GGGATACTTCGAGAGATTCGAGACATTCGACTTTCAATATTAATACGGACTTTTTCAAATAAGAATATAGTTGGATTTCAACTACTGATCATATCGCTAGCAACAGTTTACCTGTAAACCGCCGAAGGATAGATATTGAGAAGTGCGTTGTCAAAGGTTTCATAGATTGTTGGATCTGTTATCTGTATATTGTCCCGATTTTCCGTAAGAGAAGGCATAGAAAAGTACTCTGCGTATCGAGTAAAATAATTGCCATAAAATTGTTTCACTTCCTCTGACATGTGTCGTCTCATTTCGTCAAAGTGCAGCGGTTGCCGTTTCATGATATTGCTTTGTAATACAAAGCCACCTATCGTTGTGTACGGAGGAAGAAGGAGGAATAATCGTAATAAAAAAGAACAGCTCGAAAAAAATCGATCAAACAAAATGTATTTAGCGTAAATAATTTATTTTCTTGGTAAATAAATAAGTTAGATAAAGTTGCACTGACCTGGTATGAAGGAGACCACTTCGACCCCGTATTTGCCAACCTCTACTCGAAGAGAAGTGGTCCACGCGAGGAGGGCGGCCTTCGTAGCCCCGTAGATGCTTATACCCGGTAAGGACTCGTTAGCGCAGTGGCTAGATACCACGATAATTCTGCTGTGATTCTCCCGTAAAATCGGCATCAGCTCTCGCGTGATTCTCATCGTTCCCAACAGATTCACGTTTACCTGATGCTCCGCGAGTTTCTGCGTTTGCCACTCGAATTCGCCGAAAACCATCACCCCCGCGTTATTCACCAACGCGCGCAGTACTGCGGGCAATGCGGCAAACAAATAAATTTCATAGACTGTAAATTACTTCCATCCCTACGTATCTCTTTCTCAATGTCGTTTATTTCGTATTACTCACCTAACCGCCGCTCCTCCAACAGCTCTTCAACTTTGTGACGAAAATCTCGTACGGATTGTTCATCCGTGATATCGACTTGATGAACGATAACACCGTTATTCTTCAATGCTTCAACAGCGTTAGAATTAGGCGCTGTTGGTATTTCGCGCACTCCGGCCAAAACCATCGCACCTTTGGCACGGCAGTGCATCGCTAGACTATAGCCCAAACCGGAATTACAACCGGTTATAACGATAAGATCCCGTGCATTTATTTTCCGCCGACGACTGAAGAAACAGTACAAAGTAACACCACCTGAGAAAAGAAAGAACAAGAAATTTTCTTCGACACCCCATCCTTAATTTCAATTCTTTTTTTATTCCAAGTTTATAGTAATAATGTATATCCAAACTTTTGCCTTAATGAAATCTCTCAAGCTAGTATGCTATTCACGAATATCCCCCAACAGAAAAATGGTCGAAACGTTAATGATAACATTTTTAATTAGTGCATTTGTTTCATGTAATCGCGTGTACAATTAAAAGGGAAAATTTGTATCGTTGTAATTACAAAGTTAAATACTTAATAAATTAAGTTAATTATGAGATCACATATCTAAAGTGCATCTCGCAATTTGCGGACTATTAATTCATTGACATTTAAAACTACTGTTATTTCAGCATAATCTTGTTCGTTTAAAACAAATTAACTCTCTCTCTCTCTCTCTCTCTTCCTCTCTCTCTACCGGCAACATGAATTTTAACTCTTCCAGCAATAAGAGTCTTCTAGAAGCAGAGCTTTTTTTATTTTAAATTATATATAAAAAAATCTAAAAAAATTCTAATATAATGTAAAGTCTTTAACAACAAGTCTATCATAATTATAGAAATCTAACTATATTTTACTTATTTTTGACAGATCTAAATTTATTTACTCGAAGATTCACACACACAATCAAAATATCGATGGTATCTTTCAAAGTTGTCAGCGAAGATTTAAATCTAAAGGATGCACACAATAATGTTTCTTAAAATCAAATATAATATCTAGAAAAGATTTAAGACATCAAGGAATACATTTGATTTCGATTCAATCGAGTCAATGAACGGAAAAAATGAGCAAAGCAGATGAATCTTCTTACCTAGCAAAATCATCGAAAGTGTCACCGCCTTACGCGTACGTCCGGCATCCGTAAGATACGCGATGTTGCACGAAATTGTCGTTCCAATTTGTAATGCTATTGAATGTTTTCTCCACCACGCTGCCCATCCGCTACCATACACTTTTTCCATCGAATTCATGTTTAAATTATGTGAACACTCACTACAAATTCTTGTCGTCCGATATACAAGTATTAGCTTTCCAAACAATACAAAGTCTAAAATTATGACATAAAACGTCTTTAAGTTGTCTTTTAGACACAAACAACGTCTTATGACGCGATTTCAGATACTTTTTGTTGTCTGGGATAAACGATTTATGTACAAACCGGTCTCCGACTGCTTGCTATGGATTTAAATATCGTCACACTTAGGAAAGTAAAATATGCAACTGAATAACAAAAACCTCAACTTACACAGCTTATTAGCATCAATATTATTAAATTACTTATCAATTAAATTTGTTAATGATACATTATTATCACAGTTCGGTGTACGATTGCGTTTTAAGACTGAAAATAATTCCGACGCAGATTGCAGAATTGGACACGTGTATAAATTTTATACACCAACAAAATATTATTTCTAAGATCCAACTCAAACTGATCAGATTTTCGTTATTCAGTTGTAAAAAATATACATGTTTTTAAAGCGTTAACTTTGTTGACGATTATGCTGAATAAATGCTCAAAATAACTGTGTATATTCACACGTACGATCGGTTCTTGCACTCGCCACGTCCGCTGAAACGAGGAGAATGATCCTGCACGATCGTTCTGGCTTGCCTAACCAGCCTCTCTACAACGTTAAGAAATGTGACCCGATCCACCCGACTCGCGTAACGCCCGTCATCATGTATTCCCCTTGATTTTCGATGCGGAATAAGCAATAAAGTATTAAGTAGTAAGAATAAAACGCAATTTCCCAAGTCTGGTCGCTTAAAAATGTTTCGGTATCAAAATATTATCAATTTCGATTTACTCGAATGTTATAATGTATCCCTCGTCATCAGAGGATCAATTAATTAATTATTTAGCAAATTAATTATTGTGTAATATGGCCATGGAGACTTATTATTCAGTTATCGAACATGCAAACGTATTAAATTCTTACATTTTTTTATTTGGTACAACAAAAGATAACTTCAGTAAATCTTGTAACAAAATCCGTTTTAAGAACAAAAATGTTACACGCAGTTCGAAAAAAAAAAATAGAAGATGGATAAATCCATCCATGTTACGTACGTGTAGATATGATTGTAAGCATTTTAATATTTCATGGGTTAGTTGTTTATAAGAATTGGATAGTCTTCATTTGAATTTCATTATTCCACACTGTACAGGAAAAAGTATATCGAGTCGTATATGTCTTTTTCTTTACGCTTATAAAGTTTGGAGAGATATCAAACTTTGCTGCTTTCTTTCAAAGTCCTAGCTTTGATAAAAAACATTCTTACATGAAGATATTGTCTGGCCGAAAAAAATTAATTATTTCGCATTGCAATAAATAAAAAATCAATTACATAAAAAATAATGATTAATAGTTCATAAAATACAAAATATATAGTATAAGTGACGAACTAACGTTACATAAAAATTAGATAAAAGATTAAAATACGTTAAATACTGAATTATTATGTAAAGATGTAAAATATCACATTGTTCAAAGCAAAATAATTCCAAGTTCCTTCATCTTATGTTTATATCTAAACATATGGATAAGAAAACAAATTTTTAATACGACAGTTTTCTTACAATATTTTCATAGATTATAAATCGATAAGCCTTTACAGATTTAAATGTACAATTTCGATATGAGATATAATTTACATAAAAATTAACAAATATTACATACACTAGCTTATAGATATGTTCTACTGTCCCACAAAATTGTGCTTTTTCACAAATTCTAATTGTATTCCAGTTATGTATTCGCGATTGCCACGCCTCTTGCATTTCCCGAGATTGTTTCATCCATCTCTTATAATAGACTGATGATTGTTGCATCACTGCTCGTAATGCACTGCTCGTAATATATTAAATTATAGACTTCTCCCCAAATTTCAAATTAGGATTCGCTATTACGTTGAAACTCGGATCACCATCGGTCGCCATTCTGCCGAGCCATGAAAAGAGCAAAATAATTCCAACGAAGAATAATATACCAATGACAACCAATACTGCATATTTTTTATATATAGATCCTGCAGTTTTTCGTCGTACTGGTGCTCTTGATATCAGTTTCCACCATCTTCGGAACCATTCTATGGCAGACTTGCGTTGGTATTTGTTCTCATCATGATCGAAGGACATGTCCTTTGGATCATCGTAAGCTTCGCATACTTTTCTAGATGCCGGAGTGGATAATCCCAGAGACGAATCAATATTCACGACCGAATAAGGTGGACCAAGCTTCTGACTGTTCGCATGTACATTGCTGACAATGGAATTGGAATTTATAGTACTGCTTGTACGAGACACAGCCACTGTAGGTGACGATGGTATAGCAGCTGTGTGATTTTGGAATAAAGAGTTCTCCACAGTTATCGAAGAGCGTTCCTGTTCTGGTTTTTGTTCTCTGTCTTCACTTAGCTGCAACAAAACAATGATTAATTGATAAAAGACAACAAATTTGGCATTAATAGAAAACACTTGTAATAAATAAAATAATACAGTTATAATAAGTACCAATGGTAAACCAAGACCGGCCCGAGCCCAATTGACAGTGGCCAATTTCTCCCTCAAAACATCTGCGACTGGAGATACCAGTTTTGCTTGTGGAAAGATACACACTCTACACGTGGGGCAAGTGTATCCCGCTGGTGCAGTAGTTGCTGGCAAATCTCTGGCATATCGATCCAGGCATATCCAATGAAACATATGATAGCACGTTAATCTTATACAATCTCCATCGCTCAATTTCTCTGAACAAAGCGTACAAATTGGATTGTAATCATGATCATGGAGCCAGAGTAAATACGACTGCACTATACACTGTAAAACACAAAATCAGCATTAGATATGCGTATCACGCATGATTATGACGAACCGTTTGATACTGCACGAAGGAACGAGAGAGCGTCAAAGATTATCTACATATTTTGTTTTTTTAATGTTAAAAATCCAATCGGGAAGAAAATACCTTCGGGTGTCCCGTGACCATGCAGTGTTCGCATACATTGACACGATGTTCAAAACAAAATTGATTCGTTACTCTTCTTTTCGGACACTTGCACAGACCCATGTTCCAACGTCGTGCGACAACGAGAAAATCGAAACGACGTTGTTGGAACGCGGCCGGAGAGTCCGATTCAACGCAGCAATACTGACTTTACTTATTTTATTAAGCCTCGCTGCGTGACATATCGGAAACTCGTGACAGTATATACCATTTTATTTGCACTGCCCACCATACTTTTATCATCGGCCACGTCGTCTGGCAATTCTCATCACTCTCATAGCCGGGCGAGATCGGAACTATCGGAAATAGCCAACAGACCGAATGTTCTACCGTTTGTCCACCAATCGTAACGGTCGTCGTACCGTGTTATACTAGTTATACGAGAAATATCACATAATAAAGAATAACGTGATAAAATATAATGCGTTGGACGAAATATCTGTTGAATTGAGTAAAAATATGAATCGAAAATTAGTGTGATGAAATACTGATTTAAACATAGTTTTTAAAATCTGCATCATTCAGCAATGAGATGATGCAACATTATATATGTTTATGCATTACTTATAAATTTATCGTAAACCTGACAATTCTGTTTTCTCCATTTCGCAAAGAAAAATCGTAAAAAAAAAGAAAACGATTTTCAATCGCTGTCTCTTTAAATAAGAAAGAGTGAGGGAGGGGGAAGGGGGAGAGAGAGAGAGAGAGAGAGAGATACGGCCATTATTTTCTGTCTTTATTTACCTTCAGCTTCACCAGCATTTCGGAGCATTATCGGCGTGAATACGCAATTTGTCGTATATCTATGGTTAGGAGTAAGAGTGGAGAGAAAATTTGGAGATTGTTTAGTCCTGGATTAAAACCGTTAACTGTGAGGATACCGTGAGGATGTTACTATTCCGAATTTGAACATACGTAAGAATGTACGGCAGTGTGCAGTGAAAATAGAGGATTGGGCTTGATTTATATTTAGATCATTCAGATAGATTCAGATAGATTTACATATCGATATAATACGATAAAAGAAAATTCACGATAAAATCTTGAGGAAGTTCTGAAAAGATACGAAAACATAAATATGTCAGATCCGGAACTTGAAGCGTTACGACAGCAACGTCTGGCTCAATTGCAGGCTCAATATAAGGTAAACGTTACGAGGCTTCACTTGATTTTATATTTTGAAATTTTTAAGGTTAATAATTATTTCATTCCTTTTGGATGACTAAAATACATTAACTATGTGTGTGTGATTCTACAGTGATTCTATCTTAGCAGCGATTCTATCTTAAAGAGTTATGCATAAATTTAATAAAAGCGATGGAAGCTACTCCCACTGGTTTTTAGTCTTTATGCCTTCAACCTCTCAAGGTTATACGACACTTGAATGTTAAAATTTTGAATATGTTGTTATACTCGATTATTTTTTTTAACTTGTAAATAATTTATAATTGTAAATAATTCTTTTTTTATCCCAATGATCTTCCTTTTAATTCGAATATATTTTCATTATAACTTCCAAACCTTTATATATATTGCTGAGATCAGTATATATTCAACACTTATCTCTATGGTTTGTATTTCCAACATTAAAAAGCAAACTATAATATTTTATAGGTTTACTTGTCACATATTGTTCTATAAATTTCATGGAATGAAAATTGTTAAAATATAGATGTTTTTGTTTTAGGGTAACAATGCCAATGATAAACAAGCGATGGAAGAGAGAATGCAACAAATGGAAGAGATGAAGCATGCTATATTGACCCAAGTGTTGGATCAGTCAGCTAGAGCAAGATGTAAATTTATTTTATTATTAAGATCGAGATATGGTATTAATAACTTATAACATTGTACATTTATGGATAGTGAATACACTTTGCCTTGGAAAGCCGGAGAAGGGCAAAATGGTGGAAGAAATGCTTCTGAACATGGCACAACGTGGACAGCTACCTGGCAAACTTGGAGAGAAAGAACTAATCAATTTACTTGAAAATGTGAATCAACAAACGCAAAAGAAGACAACAGTCAAAGTTAATATAATTTTATAATAGAATCATACATTTCATAAAATATAGAAAGTAACAGAATCAAAATTTTATTTTTCAGTTTGATAGGAGAAGAGCAGCTATGGATTTTGATGATGATATGGACTTGTAGCAATTGTATTGTACAAATTTTACAATACAAATTGTATTGCAATTGTACAAACTTTACATCCAAAATCAATTAAATTAGAGAAGATACTCATGATTCATATGTGCAGTAAGTTACAGAAATTACAATATTCACCCCACATTTTGTTTAGTAATAATATTATTTTTATGCTGTACTAAAATAAAAAAAAAAGTTACTATCACTTGAATTTTAATAGTAGGACACAAGAATTGATCAACATTACCATTCACTTTGTTATTAAATATATCGCATATATATCTGGAAATTACTATTCACCTTATAATCTTCCATTTTTCCAACTTTCCAAAATCGATTATTTCCATACAGAACACACATGTCATTTCTCTATGATAGTAGTAATAATAATAATATATCTTGAGAAATATTTACTCTTTAGATCTCTTTCTTTATACATATAAATACATTCAGCAAACATACAATTATTTTTCACTCTAAAAAAGAAAATACAATCACTCTTCCAGTCTACACAATGCAACAAACAACAGTTTCGCACAACTTGCATAATACTAAATATTATCATTATTTTATTCATACATATACAAAAACCAATGTTTAGTTTGAGGTTTAATACGATTTTACAAACTATGTGAACAATCGCGTTTAATATACAAATTTTTGATATATATTACATTCTCTTTTTGTTAAAGCTGTGTTAAAAGACAAATTTTTCTCAGTGTGTACATATTCGCTTAACTGGGTAGATTGTATTGTCTCGAGGGATATACATAATTTTTGTTTTATATATATATATATATATATACAATATATATATATATATACAGCACATAAAAGAAATCAATGCTATATGTATGAAATGGATCAAAAATAAATTCTAATATGAAATGTCAAAAATACAATATATGAATTATTGTATAAAAATTCTCGTAATCTTAAAACTGCTTTGGCAAATTTTTGTCAAAAACATATTATAATCATAAGCGTTTATATACACTATACATAATGAAAAATGTGTCTCGGAATTCTGTTATAATATATCTATTAAATAGTATCTATTTTTAATCATTCTTCATGTGATGCATTCCAATATTTTCTGAAAAAAACATAAAATAATCATATATATTATTTTTATATAAAAATTAATTTCCTGAGAAATAAAAGGAATTTTACCATCTTCATCGTCTTTCGCGTCCAATAAATCTGGACAACAAATGCCGTAACATATTAACGAGAGAAATCCAAACGGTAATCCAAGCAGGACCATCATCAAGATAGGATTGCCCTTCCACATTGAAGTCAGAACAGTTTTCATTTCGAACCATTTTCTATAACTATGTACTAGCCAACTGTTGCCACCATATCGCTGATGAAAATGCATAAATACTTATAAATGCGTATTTTTTTTTAACAGATCGAATAAATAGCAAATATGAAATACACATTAATGTTATACCGGAGCACTCTCGTTGTGAATCTGCTCTAGGAACAATTCTATTACGTATGGAGTCAGTTTTCCTGTTTCATCCTCAGGAATATAATGATGATTAGTAGTTGTATTTATCACAAGTAAGCTTGGTATAGGTAGTGTCATCATTGCTATGCTGTTGACTAGATTGGGACTACCTATCCAACCAAACTGAAAATGACTGAACACAACGATAATTTATTTTCATTTCTTATACTTTTATCAAAAAATTGTCTGATAAATGTGATAAACGTACTCATGATACTTATTTCGTTTATTCTTGATCACAAATTCAACCATGTTTTTGAATTTCAGCATATGAGGCGCGAGCTCTTCCAACTGATTTTCCTCCAAAACCGCTAAAACGAGATTCTTATTTGTCAAGAATAATTGATTTATATTTCCTCTTGTTACTTTCGGAAACGTTGGAAAACGTTCTGCATTCACCCACTTATAAAGTGTTTCATTCACTTGTCTTGTGTCGCTCAAGTTGTGTCCTACAGATTGAATTAAACACTAATACAGTAGATAATAATGATCATTCCTTTTTCTTTCGATCGACTTACCGGTGAAATTATAATGCGAATTTTCCTTGTACACAAATAATGCCGGAACATTATTTACAGGCGCATGTTTATTCACGACACTCGGATGAGATTGATAGAAAAATGCATGCGCTTGAAATACATTCGCAATCTTGTGATAAAGTTCCTACATTTATTAAACATTAAATGCAGACACATGAATTTGAATTTCAAACTATCTTTATAATATGACTACGTTTACACGGTCATCCTTAATCGGGTTTAATAACATTCGTAGTTAGAAACTAACCAATCACAGTAATTCCATATTTCAGAGGAATAACTATGATTGATCAGTTTCACAACTACAGATGTTATTAAATCCGATTAAGGGTGCCGTGTAAACGTGGTCTATGTTAAGAAAATTGTGAAAACAATTTACCCATAAAATTCCAGCTCTGTTTCCTACATATAAGAAATAGAGATCGTGTTGCTTCTTTATGATCTCGAAACTCTGTGTTTTTGTTATTTCCTGCACGGGAGGACCGCTTAATCTTAAAGCGAATTTCACTATTTCCTCTCTAGTTCTATCACCTTCATATACATATTTCTGATCGCCCTTTAAACTGTAAAACGAAAACATTAATATACGCGAGCGTTGTAATGTCGAACTAGTCGAAGAAGAGTCTATATACTTACAATAAAATAGTGGGAAATCCTTTAATTTTGAATGTATTTGTTACACTGGTAAATGTAGTGCAATCCACTTTTCCCACTCGTATGGACGATGCGTGCAAGTGTTGAGCAACATGAGACCAGATCGGTTCCAATCTTCTGCAATGCGCACACCATGGTGCATACATCTGTAAAAAACAACAATGGTTGTGATACAAATGAGCGAGGACAAAGCCATATTTGGACAAAGCGGGTCTTGATGCTTAAGCACATATTTATATGAATCGTTTACAATTTCTAGTTCGAATAAACTGCACACCGATTATTTATCGATCTTGAGACACAGTCTACCTAGACTCAAGCTGAAGTATGTAATATCAAATTAAATTGATAAGCAAACACTAAAGATTTTTTAAATAGTACTTTCTAAACTTAAGGACGTAAAAGAGCATTAAACGTACCATAATTAGCCATTGCCCATCTTTGTGTGCCTCTAGAAATCTGCAAGAAAGGTATTAAGTAATCATGCATGGACTTGGTTGGAATAAAGTAGTAATGGGTGCTTTCCATTTGTTGACGAGTCGACGCAAATGTCGTTCTATCTTTGTCACTCTCTGAACGTCAACAAGGATAGAACGACGCTTGTGTCGACTTGTGTCATCAAATGGAAAGCACCCAATGTCTCTTACCTATCATTCAGCTCAAGTACACGCGACCCTGCTGTATGCGTCAGAATCGCTGAAAAAACTAAATTGTAATAATTAAACAACAAAGAGCTGGAAAAAATATTTTCTTTTGCACGTGCAATTGCACAAAGATCATATCGACAGAATCAAATTGAATTTGTTTGTTAAGACATCACGAAGAACTTATTGGATTACGTCGTACATACATATACACGATAAAAGCAGAAATACGTAAGTATAGTTCGTTAATTTAAGTACTGTAGATAAGATCGCGCGGAACATATTGCATGCTTAAGAATCCCAAGATGTGCGGATGTCTTTTAAATTCTCTATACACTGATACAATCCAATTATTTGGCGTACAGAAGATTCATGATAATCGAATCAAACGAACATCAAGCGAATCATCCGTTATATCGATCAGCCAGTACATGAAATTACGATACGGAAAAACACCGAGTCCAGACCGGATATAACGTATTGTTTCTTCCTCATTATGCACCCTCGTTATGCAGGAGGAAAGCGTTCCGGCGTAATTGACAGCCGCTTACCATAGAGAAGCGCAACGAAAGAAACCCGCGTCAGGGAAACCATTCCGATCGTCGAATCGAGATGTCGAGGAACGAAAGTCGAGCTCCTTCATCTGATCGTACGGCAACGCGAAGGAGACTGCATAATCGTCGCGACGCTCCCAAACGGATGTATAAACGGACGCCTCGTCGTCCCTTTATTTAACTCGTCACGCGGAACGATCGAGCGCTCTCTGTCGCATCTTCCCGACTGTCGCGCACGAGTACGACTGCACTACGACTGCACTACGACGGCACTACGACGGCACTACGACGGCACTACGACGGCACTACGACGGCACTACGACGGCACTACGACGGCACTACGACGGCACTACGACGGCACTACGACGGCACTACGACGGCACTACGACGGCACTACGACGGCACTACGACGCGCCTTGCTTGCCGCCAACCGCCCTCGACTCACCTCGACTCCGTCGCACCCATCGTTAATTCCGCTTGATTCCGCTACTGGCCAGCCATCCCATCCCTGTCATCCCCCTTACTTGCATCTCTCTCACACTTTCCGTAGTTCTATATCTATAAAATCGAGCGTTGAGCGCACGGTCGGCACGGTTGCTAGAATCAGCCAGAATGCCAGGTCCCAAGCGCTGTGTTTCTTTTTGTTGTTAATATAATATTTCATCAATATAAAGTGTCAACGCAATCACAGAGAAACCTTTTTATTTTATTATTTTACAAGATGATATACAGTGCGAACACAATTATAAACTTTTTTATTATTCGTAAAATAACAAACTATATACGAACATAATCACAGACTTTCTTTTACTTTACGTGTAATTTAAATATTGCGCGTTATGCAAAACACAAAAAAAAAAACAATATACGCTATAACATCTTTAGCATAATATTTGCGAAAATCAGCATCTTTCATACATCTGTTGTCTTTTGTAGTTTTTCTATCTTTTCTTTTCTACATTACGCTTAGTGATAATAGTAAAAATATTTTAAAATAAACATTCTGAACGAAATAATTATATACGATAACATCGCCGGCATCACTGGATTGTGCGATTAATATTATTTATAAATTATATAATACTAATAAAAATACCTCACGTGAGCGAAAAACTAGAGATTTTTTCCGGATTTTGTCTGCTGGAGAACTGAAGATTGGTCCCGAAAACTGGAGTCTACAGTCGAAATCTGGAGACCTACTAAACTGTGGATGAGCGTTAATTCGAACCTTGGAAAAAAGAAGAAGAGATGTAAAATATCGAATAGATGCCAAGTGTCGATGCAAATTTAATTGGTCTTTAACACTTGGAGGAATTAGACTTTTATTAGCAGGGTTGTTGAAGTTTACCGTTTTTTATAGCGAATTCGATTGGACGCACTCAATGCGCACTGGTACACATTAAAGCCGTTGTACACAAAATAATGTGAAGATATGTTTATAAATAAACATAGAAATCGATTAAATTGTGAGATACTCAATACATTTTATTGTACTATTAGGTAAAATATGTATTTCATGATTCGAAATATTTGCATGTCATTTTTATATTCAAATTAAATCAGTGTACAACAGCTTTAATATGCATCAGTGCGCACTAGTGTTTCCAATCGAATTCGCCATTAGTAACACGTTATCGTTATTTGCGTTAAAAAGTAATTCGTTACTCGTTACCGATTCTAAAAAGTAACGCATTATTGTTACTTAAAGTAACAGTAAAATCTTTCGTTATTTTTTAAAAATGATTGCATTTATGTAAATTATAACTACATAAGAACAAATCATTTTTAATTTATATTTTTGTTTTATTTTATTAATTCTTTATTATGATACATATTTTCATTTGCATCAGTACATATATCTTAACTTTAAATTATAATTAATTTTATATCGCTGAATCTGGAATTTTTGTTTAATAATAGGTAATTGTTGTTCAAAATATTATATGTCCGTCTGTTAGGCAGTGTTGACAATTTCGGCTTTTTGTAGTACTTTTGTACTACCAATACGAGTTCACATTGGCTACTATCAACGGAATAACGAAAAGAATAACGTAAAATTTCGTTATTATCGTTCCTGAAAATTGTAACTTAATTATCGTGTACTGTTACTCAGGAAAATTAACTTCGTTACTCATTCGTTAAGCGTAATTTACGGGGCGACTTTTATTCGCTAGAAGCATTTGTTTTTATAGCGTATAATCTCGGCGAATACTGCTTTCGACGCTAGTCGCTAGCTTCTTGCTGCTCTTTCAGAGTGAATTTTTATGTCGTCAGCGTGAAAAGACGAATTTTTCCGGAACGTCTCGGCCACTGAGACCATAATCAGAGAATAATCATGTCATCGAATGACATATTTTGAACCGCTGTTGTGCTTTGTGACCAATTCGCTTGGTCACTAGCGATCACTTAACGCTGCGATTTCAAAAGTTTAGTCGCTAGCGAATAAAAACCAAGCGTGTACAAGAAGCTTTTATCAGCGAATTCGCGGACGAATTAAGAAGCTTGCTTCAAGCGAATAGCAGCAGAGTCGAGAGAATTCATTGGCGAATTAATGATGTCACTAGACGCGGCTTCTAGCAAATACAAGTTGCCCCGTGTTAATTACGCTTCACTAAAAAAAGTAACGAAATCAGTAACTTTGTTACTTTTTTATGTAACGATAATCTCAACTCTGTTTATTAAACCCTCCAATTTCAGTTTCTTTCTCTCACACAACACGCACGCACGCACGCACGCACGCACGCACGTACATTACAAATCAATGATATAAATAAATAATTGTTATAAAAATTATATAGAATAACAATGCGTTCTTTTATTGTATAATAATTTTATTAATCAAAATCTTCGGATACACATATATCATTGGTATAAAACATTCACATGATCGAAACAAAAAAATATATATGTATATATAATGTATGTAGAGAAGGAATATATAGAAGCAATGTAATATATCCCTTTGCGGTATAGAGCTTAGCTATCTTTATATTCTACAAGTGTAACAAGTATTTTGTACAATTGTAACGAAATTAGCGACAATTCTTAACTAAGTGATTTATCATTAGATCTCTGCCAGATGCGTCGCACACTTTTAATGTACAAAAAATGAATGGAACCGATCTGACTACGTCAACAATATAATATTCATAATTAGGACCCAATGGCGATTTTTCTTGTCTCTCGTCGTCTATTGACGATTCGTCTTTAGGTTTGTCGTTTCTTTTGCACTCGTTTCTGATTCTTTGATTCCTTCAAGGCCTAATCGCACAGATCAAGCGATAATAATTCGCATAGATCTAGTGAGAATAATCACAATATCGCCAAACGTATCGCAAACGTATGGCACTCTTATCCTATAATTAATATTCTTTTTCCATATTTTTATATATATATATATA